CCCTTCCCCCAATTCCCCAAGGCTGTTCCCATCCCCCCAATTCCCCAATAAAAATCTTTAAAAAACAAACAAAAAAACTTCTAACCAAGCATGATCATCTGCAGAGTAAGGTAAATGATTAAAAAAAAAAACAATAAAAGTGAGTTGTCTTTCTCTAGCAAAAAGGGAAAATTTCAGAAAGATTTCGAATGACTGAATGACATCAGTGAAAACAATTACACTGTTAAATATCTTTGATGAGAATACTTCTTTAAATTACTATTAGGATTGGGGAAGGGGTAAGAAAGAGGAGGGAAAGAACAAAACATCTGTGCACTTTCTACATTGAATATGTGTAAGTTTTACAATCAGAATATAATGTAAATAACCAGAAAAAAATTCTAGAAACAATAAGGTCCGGCTCTGAGATCCAAGAATCCAATGCCCACTGTCTCTCCTTTCACCTCCCAGCCCCCTCACCTACTCACTCACTGAATGGGGAAAGAACTTTCTCGGTGGAAACCTTTCCCTCTTGTCCTTCCCCTTTCCCTTCCACCCTATCTTTCCCTTCTCTTACAGAACTCTATTCTTAGCACTTTGTCCCCATCTCCACCATCGCACTTATCACATTAGAATGATGACCATAATTTATTAACCACCCACTTGAAGGTGGGCATTGTGCTAGATTCCTGACATACATTCCTTTGTCTTTAACCATCACCATCCTCATTGACAGATGTCACTATCCCCAGAACCTGCCCCAAATCAAACATGTGGGCAACCCAACTCTTTGCTTCCTCCAACTCATATGCTCTTTCTACTGTTATTCAATTATGTGTTTATGCAATGGCAGGCACATCTTAAGTGCTCAATTAGTGAGTGCTGGCAGGAATTAAAAGACATATTATAGATCTATCCTGTTTGCTTCCAATAAGGAAAAAGATGCAGAAAATCACTAACCTAAAGGTGAATTTTTTCTATCCCAATTTGTTCTGCCAGATAATACCCAATAGCCTTAGAATCAAAAGAAACTAGCACATGCTGAAAGCAGGTGCATAAATAAACCAACAGCAAGATAACTGCCAAACCCAGCACCTTTCCCTCCATCCCTGATTCCTGGAGTTCTGGAATGCCTTGGCACTGTGACTTCTTACCCTACTAAGGAAAGTGTAGAAAAGAAATAGAATTAACCCCTAGAGAGTCAATCCCCGATATCCTTTGAGGGTATCCTGTCATCTAACGAGAAATGTCTTAGTTGTGGCTAAACTCATTTGCTGTAAATTGCTGGAGGGAACGGTTTTATTTCTTCAGCATCTTCCAGTGAAGTAGAAAGGAGTGCGATAAATTATAAAATTATGTTATGGTATTGAAATTTCATCTGAATATTCTCTTAATTACCTACCTAAATGGGACATTTTGCGTACAAGAACACAGTGCCAGGCCCATAGCGAGGGCTCCAAAAATTGTATTGTTATAATTATTATTAATTATTGGAATACAAATTCATGTAGTCAATAATTATTTCATACCATTCACCAGGCACTATGCTAACCTGGGGGTTAAGTGCTGAGCAAAATCAAGACCCTCTTTACATGGTTCTTTTTATCCAAAGGCTATTCTTTGGGTAAAAAGGTGTTTGTTGCTTTGATCCACCGCCCAGATACTCCGCGCACTCCACAGGCAGTCGATAAACATTTGGGAACCAAATATTAAGAAGAAAATATACCTTTCCATGGGCCTTTAGTAAAATGTAATGAATTTTTTCATGAGTTGAATCCATTTTTTAAATATTAACCGAAACGGCAGTTTTATTATTGTCGGGGAAGGTCCCTTTAATACGTGTCCCATTTAAGAATCCTCAGCGCAGCGAGTCTTTTCTTGCCAATCGGCTGCTCGTAGCATTTTAAAGAGCTGAAGGCGGCACATCTTCCCGGCTCTGGGGAAATCAAGGGTGCTTTCGCCGAAGTCTGTGCATTTGGTTAACCGCCACTCACTCACTGTCCCCCGGTCCCGCCCTGAGAATTCCCTTCCCCTTTTTCTCCCTAATTCGGAGAAAGCGTACACGCGGAGTGAACACGGGGAGGCCATGCCGTCTGTGTTTACGATCTGCTTTTATAAAAATGCGCGTATCGGTCCGGGGAGACCCACGCGCTGCCACTCACATCCGGCTACGCAGCTCTGAACAAAACACGCCGCGGGCTGCAATGTATAGGGCGGGTCTGGGTTGGCAGGCTAGGTACTGGAGAGATGTAGGGGCACCGAGAAGGATCTGGAAGAATCCGGTTAGACCGGGAAACGGGCTAGGGAGGGCCTGGAAGAACACGGGGCGGGAGAGGCGGTCCCCAGAGTCCGAGGGTCCCAGCCCTGGGGGGAGAGGAGCCAGGCGGCCAGCAGAAGGAATGAACCAGATATAGAAAATTTCATATAAGCGCCCTTAGCACTAGAGCCCGAACCGGATTAGCCGCCGCCGTCTCTAGAAACTTCTCCACCTCCACCCCTCCGTCCCTCGTTCCCGCTCCGGCTCCTCCCAGCCCCTCCCTCCGCGGCGGGGTGGGACCAATCGCTCCCCCGGCTGCTCAGTACCCACCTACTCCGGCTCCCGCGCCGGACTCCGCTGCGGGCCGCGAGCGCGCCGGGAGGCAGAGGAGCTCGATCGAGCCTTGGCCCCGTTCGCAGGTCGGCGGCCGTGCGGTCGGCGCCCGCACCCCCGTGCAGACAGGCCGGCGGCCGAGAGGGCTTGGCTCGTGCCCAGCTCCCGGAGTAAACGGCGCACCGAGCGGCGATGACCGCGGAGGAGATGAAGGCGGCCGAGAGCGGGGCGCAGTCGGCGCCGCTGCCCCTGGAGGGAGTGGACATCAGCCCCAAGCAGGATGAAGGCGTACTGAAGGTAAGAGCGAGGGTGCCCGGGGAGCTCAGGGCCTGCTGGGGGCGGCCGAGCCCCGAGTGTCAGTCGCAGCCGCTCTCCCGCCGAGCCTGGAAGCCCCCGGCCGGGGGACAGGGTGGGGACCGCTGCCTTCGCAGCCTCCCGGCCAGTCGTTGAGTGGTCGTGCAGCGGGCGGGCAGTTATACGGCCTTCCTGGACCAGGCTGCGTTTGGGAGCGAGAGGCCAGCCGCACGCTCGGAAAGGGGTGGCCTAGGTGCGCGAGCCTCCCCTTGGCCATTTTTCCGGCCCCCTTGAAAGCCTGTGGTCTGGGCTCAGGCTCCCAGCCCTGCGGCACCCTCAGCCCTTCGGCGCCTGGGCCCGGGCAAGGGGCCGGGACTGCAACGCCAACTCCGGCGTGCGCTGTGCAGCGAGGAGGCGGCGAGCGGGGGGTGGGGGGGATAGGGGAGGGAAGGGGCGCGGCGGTGCACGCGAGCTGCAGCTAGGGGGCCTCCGGCAGCGTGCCCCCGGGGCCGGGCCTGCTCCGACACCGCCCCCGCCCCCCCACTTCTCTCCGACCCCGCGGCCCAAGCCAAGCTGCCAGCTCCCTCCCTGCCAGCCGCAGCGGGGAAGGTCCTGGGCCGCCTTCGTCCAAGGTGGTGCGAGAGCTCGCCTATCCCTGGCAGTTAAATATTAGCTAGGACCTGAAGTGGGTCTCAAGAGTAATTTCCTGGCCCAGAGGTCTGCGTGCAACTTTGGCGCCCGGGCCTGGCCGCGAGGAAGGTTCTGGCGACCTCCGCCCTCTCATTTACACCCTTTCTAAAGGCTGGGACTCAGCTAGGTCACTCGCTCAACCATGCTATCCCCCTTCCCCCAGCCCCGGGAAAACCAGGGAGCGGTGCATGCCGGGACCTGTAGTTCCCCCTCCCACCTCGGCGCCCCCTCCTTCCTGATTTGGGGCTTGGGGTGTCGGGTACAGGGCCCAAAGAAGGTGCTTTGCTTGGGAGCCTGCTACTGTGTAACCGCCTGACTGCAAATAGCCAGAGGAGTGAAGGGGGGGAGGGGTCTGGGACTCAGGGAGCAGGGCAGCTTGACCTGGGTCAGACAGCCAACTAGTTCAGAGCAGATTCTGTGGAGTCCAGGATGAAGACTGACATCTCTGCCGGGATCTCATGCCCACTGCTCAACTCCACGTACGTGTGTGTGACCTGAACAAACTCAGGGAACGTTTACCTGGTCCAGAAATGCTTTGCCCCAGATCTTGAAATTTCAAGCTGTTCTCCCAATGGCACTGTGGCTTCCCCTTCTCTCTGCAGTGTCAGGTGATTTCTACAAGGTTATTATTCCAGGAAGGGTTATTTCCCCTTTCACCCTCTACGCTTTTACCTTAACTTTTCTACTTCTCAGACCCCTGTCCATTCTATCATGGAAACTTTCCTGTAGAGGGCAATGTCACACCTACCAGGTTGCACATGGAGTTTACCTTTTATAAATGCTAAGGAAGAGAAGCAGAGGCTTATGAACTCCTAGAACTTAACTCACTCACCAGTCCAGAATGCTCACGTCCCAAGTGAGAGTTTAGGGTCTGATTGAGAGCCCCTGTGCTCATCTGTAATCTGCTGTATTCCTTTGCCTCTTTTCCACTCTTCATTACTCATACTCCTCCTCTTATCTCCAAACCAGATCTTGATCTGATGACCACTGGCATTCAGGAAGAATGAGGAAACAGCATAAATACTTCTCCCTTTGCAGCTAATAATAAATTTTACCGATTTAATCTTCCAACAACTCTGATAGGAATTACCATCACTACCTACTAATGAGGTTTAGAGAGTTTGAATGACTTATCCAAGATCATACAGCAAAAACTTGAACTCGGGTCTTTTGACTCCAGTTTTTCAAAGCAAGTCATGTCGCACCTCAAGAAAGACTGCGAAGTCAATTGGCTTCTAGCCAAGCTCAGAATCATTTGAGGATTGGTCCCTTGAATCTACTTACAAGGAGGCAGCAGAGTCCCTCTATGTACCTGTCAGAGGCATGCAGGCAGTTTTGTGCCTCTTTCTGTCCCCATCCCTGGGTACTCACCTTCTCCCCTTTCCAGGTCATCAAACGAGAGGGCACGGGCACGGAGATACCCATGATTGGGGACCGAGTCTTAGTTCATTACACTGGCTGGCTGTTAGATGGCACCAAGTTTGACTCCAGTCTGGACCGCAAGGACAAATTCTGCTTTGACTTGGGAAAAGGTAGGCGTGGCTAGTGGCTTGGTAGATGGGCTTTGAGGAGATTATAAGCTGTCACAAGCAGAAACCATATTTTCAGAAGCTTAAGGAGGAATGGTTTATTAGAGTCTGTTAATATTTTTCCCCCTGTTATTTCTTTGTCCTGTAACTGTATTGATTTCTCTCTTTTACTTGATCACGTCTAAATACCTTACTTCCTCTATAGGAGTAGATTGTCTTGTTTCTTGAACTCCTTTGTTCCAGAGTAGAGTGGTTTGGTTTTTTGTTTTTTTTTAAGAGGTCTGAGACCTGACAGCACTTACTGCAACCAGGTTTCCTACCTTCCTGGTCCCATTTCTAAAGAGTGTCCAGCTTCCCGTCAGGCATAGTACTCTGGGGCCACTGAACCCAGAGTCAGATCCCTACCAAGGAGGACCTGTTTGCTTTCTGTACCTACAGGGGAGGTCATCAAGGCTTGGGACATTGCTGTAGCAACCATGAAAGTGGGAGAAGTGTGCCACATCACCTGCAAACCAGAATATGCCTACGGTTTGGCGGGCAGCCCTCCAAAGATCCCTCCCAATGCCACACTTGTGTTTGAGGTGAGTGCAGCCACAGAGAGCAAGACAAAGAGCCAGCCTTAGCTCGGCTCCGGCGCTGGCCGCCTTCCAGTCCTTCCTGCCTCTCGGAGACAATGTAGCCAAGGCTGAGTGCCTGGCCTTAGGGGAAAAGAGAAATGGAGAGGGCAGTTGGCTCTGCTGTGCACATAGCTTGCTGCTGCCAGAACATGAGTGATGGTGGAGGTTTCAGGTGGGAAGAGGTGGCCACAAACCGCTCGTCAGACTCAAAGCAGGATAAAGGGTTGAGACGTGTTTATTTCAAGAGCAGTGCCCAGAAGAGACGGGGTATAATTTTATCTTAAAGAAGTCAGGAGTTCAGAATATCTGTGTGGTCATAAATGACAGTATAGAATATTGGTGCTAGAGATCAGAGGAGAGGAGAGATGCCTCTCCCGTAGGTCAAGGGGGTGAGGAAAGTCTTTACTGAGGAGGTAGAATTTGGCGTTGTTCAGTCTAAAGATGGTTGAGCCCTAATCACCAGTGATACTTGGAGAATGTTCAGGAGACTACTGAAAGATGTCGGTTGTTTCTAATGCCTGTCAGACTGGGCTACGTAACTGAATTAGGACTGTCCAGAACATGTCCTTATTATGTGAAGCAAGTAATAAATAGATTAGTCCCCTGTGGTTAACTGAAATTCATGTGGCCTGCCCACCTCCACCAAAGTTGAGACTAGGGCAGAACCCGAGAACCTAGTAAAAGTGCCACTTTGTCCACTCCTAGTGTGGCTGCCCTTGTGGTCAGACATTGTCTGGCAGTTACTAGGGACTCTTCTGAATGAGAGAGAAGTTGTATCTCACTGTTGATGAGTTAGTGCTGAAAGGAGTTGTGTCACCTATGTCTTGTCCCACAGGTGGAGTTGTTTGAGTTCAAGGGAGAAGACCTGACAGAAGAAGAAGATGGTGGAATCATCCGGAGAATACGGACTCGGGGTGAAGGCTATGCCAGACCCAACGATGGTGCAATTGTGGAGGGTGAGACAGTAGCCAGAGGTTTCAGTTTGGATTCTAATTCTTAGTTTTTGGGTGACTTTGGACCAGACCATACCCTCCCAGGTCTAAGGGCGTCTTGGGGGCAAGAAGCAGTGAGGTGACAGAGGGAGGCTGATGGCATCCTTCAGCTGCCTGCCCACTCACATTTCCGGTACGTTGCCTCTCTTGCATGGCAGTTGCACTGGAAGGGTACTACAAGGACCAGTTGTTTGACCAGCGAGAGCTCCACTTTGAGATTAACGAGGGAGAGAATCTGGATCTGCCGTGTGGGCTGGAGAAAGCTATTCAGCGCATGGAAAAAGGAGAACATTCCATTGTATACCTCAAGCCCAGGTGAGGAGTGGGCACTCCGTAGATCAGGTGCGTGGACTCAAGTCAGAGAGAGCTACATGTCCACAGTGAGTCGTATAACTGGCCACATGTGTGCTTCCCCCTGCATATGTTCACTACCCCACATCCTACTGGAGTTCACTGCTGTTGAGCACACCAGACATACTTGCCATTATGATCTCTTCGTTGTACTTAGGAGCTTGGCCACAACTGTCCACGTTTCTTCGTCTCAGAGCCTAATCTTTTCAGTCATAGCTGCTACAGACTCCCTCCTCTAAGACCTCAAGATTTTCATCTCCCATTAACTCATCCACTCATCAATGACATTCGTTGAAACACACCTACTGTGTGCCAGACACAATGCTGAAAATTCCTAGGTATTCAGAGACATTGTTCCTGCCATCTAGTGACTCATTTTTCAGAGAGATGCCATTTAAATTAGTAATCATGCCAGTTTGTAGTATGAGTTATTAGAAGGATATATAAGATGCTAAGAGACCAACTAATTGTGTGAAGAGGTCAGGGAAGATTTTGCCAAACAGGAAACATTTGAACCAAGTCTCAAGAGATGGGGAGGTACTTTCCAGGAAATAGACAGGAAGCCTTTTCAGTGTGGAGCAGGTTAAGTGCTGCTGAGATGACCTAGAGTTTTTTTGCCCCCACAGCTATGCTTTTGGCAGTGTCGGGAAGGAAAAGTTCCACATCCCACCAAATGCTGAGCTGAAATATGAAGTCCACCTGAAGAATTTTGAGAAGGTGAATTTGCTCAAGGTCTTCCCTATTGTGAGGTCATCAGGTCCCACCCTGCGGGTGACTGGGGTAGCTGACAACCGTGTTTTTCCCTTGGGGGATGGCAGGCCAAGGAGTCTTGGGAGATGAATGCAGAGGAGAAGCTGGAACAGAGCACCATAGTGAAAGAGCGGGGCACTGTGTACTTCAAGGTGAGCCAGTGGCCATGGCCCTGAGGACACTTTGGGCCTATCTTTCCCCCTGATGACTGAGGACGTTTTCTGTGAGGGAGTGGACAAGTGGCCTCTGCAGTCTTCACCTAGTGTATCTGAGCCAGCTGGTCTTGCCTGGGAGCATGGTGCGCAGGGGGTGGGCAGGACTCTCTTAAGCTCATGGGTCACTGGTGTCTGCAGGATATGATAGCCTGGTGCCACTGAGCCTGTGCTGTGTGCCTGAGCCCTCCTTCCCATTCTAGGAAGGCAAGTACAAGCAAGCTTCACTGCAATACAAAAAGATTGTGTCCTGGCTGGAATACGAGTCAAGCTTCTCTGATGAGGACACTCAGAAGGCACAGGCCCTTCGGCTGGCCTCCCACCTCAACCTGGCCATGTGTCATCTGAAACTACAGGCCTTCTCAGCTGCCATTGAAAGCTGTAATAAGGTGAGGCCCCTTTCAAGAAGGCAAGGGAGCAGTGTTCCACAGACGAGGTTGGGAGTGAGCTGCCAGCATGTCTGAAACTCCTCAGGGACTAGGGTAGGGATAGCAGGATGGACTGTTGGGAGCTCTGAGATTAAGGGCCCAGAGGCAGGGGTTTGGCTTCTGTGGTAGAAGGTAGCTGACCCAGAAGTAGAAGGAGACACTGGATGGGAAGAACCACTTAAGTGCTTTCTCCCCACTTGGTCTTAGCCTTTTCCTCTTACATACCTCCTTTATTCTAAAGAGAATGGAAACGTTGTCACCGGTCCTTCTCTTCCATCTAAAGACCCGTCTTCCCTGTCTGCCTCTTGGATAAATGAGATTCCTTCCTAGACCTTGGTCTTTTCTCTTTAATGCCCCAGGACTCATTCTTCCTGGGGTAGAGCCAGCAGTTTCCGTCCCCCCACATCCTGCAGAGGGATACCTTTGGAACCCAGTCTTGGCCAGATAAGTTGCCGGAGCTGAGGTCTCCCTCTTGCTTCCTCCCTCATTATTAGGCCCTGGAACTGGACAGCAACAATGAGAAAGGCCTTTTCCGCCGGGGAGAGGCCCACCTGGCAGTGAACGACTTTGACTTGGCACGGGCTGACTTCCAGAAGGTCCTGCAGCTCTATCCCAGCAACAAAGCTGCCAAGGCCCAGCTGGCTGTCTGCCAACAGCGGATCCGCAAGCAGCTCGCAAGAGAGAAGAAACTCTACGCCAATATGTTTGAGAGGCTGGCTGAGGAGGAGTGCAAGGTGAGGACCAAGACAGGCACAGGGACGAGGTAATGTCTCCTTTTCTGTCCATCCCATTACTTCATCCCTGTGCTCAACCAGTTGGTGTGGGCTGTTTGTGCCTGTGGTTATCTGTGCCCATCCTAGAAACCAGAAGTTGCCCTCGTCCCCGGAGCAGTAACATGTATGTTCCCTGAGTAAAAACTCCTGCCGTCGGGGCCGGCCCTCCTCTGTGGCGAGGGCTGGAAAGCCACTTGGAAGCCCTAGGTGTCAGAATCGTGCATCCCATCACGTGTCCTGTGTGTCTTTTAAAAACATAGGTTTTAAACATCTATTTTTAAATAGGCAAACATTTACATATTTAAATTCAAAGTGTTTAAAAGGATATACAGTGAAAAGTCTCACCCAAAAACGACTGATACCAGTTCTTGTATCATTCCAGTATATTCAATATATGCAGAAGCGGATGCATTCATGTTTTCCCCTTTTTCCTAATAAAACAATGTGCTCTACCTATTATTTTCTATACGATGCTTTCTTCATATCATACCTGGAAGCTTAATCTCCATCAGCATCTAAAGGAGCTTTCGCATTCTTTCTTATGCTTATGTAGTATTCCATTGTATAGCTACATCATGTCTTATTTAGCCAGTCCACTATTTCTAATCTCTCAGTGTTCTAAACTAGCATTGTCCAGTACAAATATCATGCAAACCACATATATAATTTTAAATTTTCTAGTAAAGTAAAAAGAAACAGGTGAAATTAATTTAATACTATTTAGTTGACCTGGGATATCTAAATACTGCAACATGTAATTTTTTTAAATTGCATTTATGTACTTTTTTTTCAGACTGCAATAAATTATCTTGTAAATTTATAGTTTTGTACATGTGTAGGTGTATTTCTAGGACATATCTAGGGAGGGAATTTCTGTGTCTGTAATTCTGTTAGAAGTTAATGTGTATGTTTTGTTTTTTTACTTGGGGGACGAGTGTTTGTGGGTACAAACTATATATGGTGGCGGTATGTTAGGTGGACATAGATGTGTCACCAGATCAATTGAGTGCAGGCAGATAGGAGTGGGGACATAGAGTAAAAGTCACCTTTTCTCATCAGAGGTACTGGGCCAAATGAGATTTGGAATTCACCCTCTTCCTTCTCACAGGTCAAGGCAGCAATAGCCTCAGGAGACGGTCATGCTGACACAGAGATGAAGGACGAGAAGAAGGATGTGGCAGGGAGCCAGCCTCAGGTGGAGACAGAAGCATAGCCTCTCCCCAGCCCTCCTGCGGCTGCCTGCCTTCCCTGCTCCTGCTCTATTCCACCCTGTTTGTTTTGTAAAAACTGAAGAATTTTGAGTGAATTAGACCTTTATTTTTCTATCTGGTTGGATAGTGGCTTTGGGGGAAGGGGGAAAGGAGTAGGCTGGGGGATTGAGGTGGGGGATCATTTTAGGTGTTGTCACCCCCTCTTCTCTTCCCCCATTACATGTGAACGAATGTCCATCCACACACACACTCATCAGAACGTTAATTTATTTTTGCTTCCTCTGTTTGCTATGTCCATTTTTCAAATGGTAGATGGGGGGTGAATGGTAGGGATGTGGGGTCAGATGTGAAACCAGGGTGGAAAGGGAGACCTCCTGGGTAGCAGTTTTCCTCCCTTCCTCCTCCCTGTCCATTTCCAAACATGTGGCCTCCGTGTGGGTGCTAGGGGCATGGGGAAAACCACTGTTGTGCCCATTCCTGGTCTCTGTTCCTTTCCTCACCCCAGACAGTATGACTGATGATGTCTTCTGGTGTCGTGGTGACCACCCCCTGTACCCGCTTCCAGTATTTCCCCTCCAATCAGTTTCCCTTCTCAGCCAGGTGTGTCCCCACCCCCCTCAGCCTCTTCTCTGCACATTGTTGATGGTCCAGGTTCATCTCAAGTTCTGCACTTGAGCAATAAAGTGGAAACAAAACCTGCTGTCAGGCAACCCTTTTTGTTTTGGCCTCAGAGGGTGGGCATGGGTGGCTACACTATGGGTGCAAAATGAAGGGAGTCACCCACATTGTCCCCAGTCCTGCTTGAAATTAAAGCACAGGGAGCAGCACTACCCTGCAGGGCCTCCTGAGCACGGCACGGGCTGTCACCAGGGCCTGTGCTGAGGCCTCGCCAGCCCTCCCTCCCCTCAGCAGCCTGGCAATTTTTAGTAACGTTTTCTTCTCTAACACTTAGGAAGAGGAAAATATAAACATCTAAAATATTGGGGCCATTTGTGTATGTGTTGAGGGTAGATTTGTCTGTTTCCACCTAACTGATCCCATAGAAAGCACAGGCTTCCTTGGTTCCTTAACGTGGTAAAATCCCTGACGTCACTAACACCTCCTGTCAAACCCTTTTAGAGGGAAGAACAGTCCTCAAGCCTGGGAACACCGGCACTCAGGCCCGCTTTTCAGCTTCCTTCTTGGCCCTAACAGGAAAAAACTTACACTGTTTTCTAACTGCTTTGACCCTTGGCTCCTATGGCATGAGGCCTTGGGAGAAGCCACAGGACACAAGGCGGTCACGGTGAACCGTCAGGTCTTGGCTACAGGCCAGCGCCTACATCTACGTCCTTATCTCTCTCCTGTGTAGGCTGTTCAGTCCTTCCTGCATGACAGAGCTAGTCTGCCTACCCATATGCCTGCACAGTTCCTTCCAGAAGAGTTGTCTCCATATGTTTACTATGGAAGATTAACTTCCATGTGGAAAAGTTTCGCCAAGTTCTACACAACATGGCTGGTGCTGGAACCAGATAGAAAATACGGGTGTCTAGTCTCCCAGGGTCATCGCTTGCTCTCTCACTGGGTTCACATCATAGTCCTGTGCCTGGGGGTTGTATCTGGGTCTTTTTGGTATTTCAAGATTAGACAGATGTGGCCAGGCAGCCAATGATTAGAGCTAACCCCCATTAAACAATGTAAAAACGGCACTAAATGAAGAGCTTCATGCAGGTTAACCTTAATCTTTGCAACCATCCTACAAAGGAGGTACCACCACATTTTACACACGAGGAAACCAAGACTCAGAAGTTACTGGCTAGGTCTGCCTAGAGTAGCAGTTCTCAACCTGTGGTTCGCGACCCCTTTGGGAGTCGAATGCCCCTTTCACAGGAGTCGCCTAAGACCATGGGAAAACAAAAAGATGTTTACATTACAATTCATAACTAGCAACCACAATATGAGGAACTGTATTAAGGGGTTGCGGCATTAGGAAGGTTGAGAACCGCTGGAGTATGAGATCTCGAACAAATTCAAACTGCCATGAGATTCACATGACCTTGGCCAGTTGAGCCTCTCATCTACAAAAATAGGAGGGAGATGGACAAAAAGGGCTCCAAAGTTTCCTTTCAGCTCTGAATGCTTCTGTAGGAATTGGAGAATTTAAAACAAAACACTTATGTAGAACCCTGTAGCTGGACCAGCCTTGGTTTATGTGACATTATAACTGTCTCATGAGGATGGCCAGAAGTCTCTTAGGTTAAAAATAAACCCACCGCACACGCCACTCTGCTCTGGGTCAATGCTCAGATTAATTTCCTAGTCGCACTTTCCTCACCAATACTTATATATGGAGAGAACGTACTTGAATAAGGAAAACTAGTAGCAACCAGTAAATTTTAGCTGTTAACAGATTTGCAAGTGGTCTCCAGAAAGTTTAAAATCGGGTTTATCTTGTCCCAGTGCTGGTCCAAACACCAAGTTCTACAAAACTTCCTTGTAAGTACGGTATTTCCAATTTCCCCATTCTAGCAACCCCTCCCCCATATTACTGAGTGCCTGCAGCCTGCTCTCTTGTCCTGCAGAAGACCCCTATCTTGCATTTTCTCTTGCCCCACCTGCATTCCAGTCTATGCTGCATCCAAATCATATCCTTCCAACTGCTGAAAACCCTGTCAGTAACTTCCCGTCCCAGTTACGCTGAAGATCAGAATCTTTGGCATGTCCCACAAAAGCCTGCCAAAGGCCTGGCCCAGCCTACCTTACCAGGATCAGTACACTTGACTCCTTCACTTTATATATCAGCCATACCACCCCAAGAGTATAAGGGTGAATTATCTCACTTCAATTGGAGAAATATTAAAAGACATTTTAGGCAGGACTAATAAAATACCTTGTTTGAAAACTTACTGGAAAATCAAACACTTTATTCCTTCTGTCTCAATGATCAATGTTCTCTTTCCAAATGCAGAACATCTGAGAGCCTTGTAAGTTGTTGAAATGACTGGGCTAAGGGCAGTGCTGAATAAAGCCAATGTAAAACTTAGAAGACACTCTAAGAAAACTTGTCCTTTCTGGAAATCGGTATTGCTGAATGTAGTTCCTCAGTTGCCAACCTCAGATAACTTGAACATACTATTATTAAATCTAAGAATTGTAATAAAACCTTATCATGTAATGAACAACACTAAATATACCAATTTGGGAGGCAAAGTAAGAATGAAAGACAAAATAGTTCTGAGAAGGAATGATCACGAAAAAGCAATGCCTTCATGAACTTTGAGAGTTTTTTTTTGTCTAGAAGAGACCAGCCATTCCCCACCCCCAAGACCTGTATGCGTTTTAGGATTGCCAGTCTCGCGTTACATGGTTAGGGGTGCTTCACACAAACTTGTTCCATTTGGGGTTTTTTTTAAGGTGAAATTTACATAACAAAATTAACTATTTTAAAGTAAACAAATCAGTGGTATTTAGTCTAATTACAATGTTGTGGCACCCAACATCTCTATCTAATTCTAAAACATGTTCATCATCCTTTGTGTTTTAAGCCTGTTGGTTCATATTCTTCAGCACAATGAAGAACTACTCACCGTCCTTCAGTTAATGGCCAATAGAGTCTTGAATAGACAACAACCCTTACAGGCTCTAGGATCAAAGCTTTCTGGAGTTGGTCCTTTCTGATAGGGCCAAACTTGTGACAGGTGGGACTCAAAGCTCTGAATAACAGCATTTCCTTCAGCAGCGCTGCCCTCATTGTTCTACCTAATTTCTAGGTCAAGTAAGTTTGAGAAACAGGTTTCTGCACTTCATGACTTCTCAGAACCTTGTGTATGCTAAGATGCAACAAACTAGAGGGGGAAGGGGGAAGGAAGTCTCTCCAACTGAATCCATTAGAAAGTCTTAAGCCCCGCCTCCAGGATGGTGAGTGGCTCTGGGCCCCACGTGTAGAAAGAGCTTTAAAGGTCCCCTTTCTTACCTGGCACCCTAGCCAGACAGAATTTGATAGGACCCCTATAAGTACTCTTGGAGGGAGGAAGAAGTAGACAAAGAATCTCCCTAGAAATGTTTCCCACTTAATGTTCCCCCTCTCATCCTCTCCCATAGCAGGTTTCTAATGAAGCTAGCTAGAATTTGTTCGGCTGGTTTGTAAAGAATATGCCACCCACACAACTGTATCCATGTCATCTAACCAGGAAGATGGCCTGGTTAGGCAGTTCTGGGGAGTAAGCCAAAACCCTTCCTGAATAGGTGTTTGGCTGAAACAAGACAGGCTCTAAATGGCACCAGTGGAGACTCACCAACCGTCCCACTAGAAAGCGCCAAGAACAGGGGTTCCGCTTGTGGAGCCAGGGATCTGTCCACATGACTCTGCAAAGCCTAGTGCTGTATTCATTCCTCTTACTGTGAATTTAACACTCAATGCAATTAAAGTAATTGACACAAGGTGGGGAGAGGCATAGGCATGGAAAAACGATCCATATTCCTTTGGAGACCCATCTTTCCTGATTTCTAACTATTTGGCTCTTGACAAAAGTCAAAAGGCATGGTATCCAGGAGCATTTGAGATCCTTTTCCCCAGCGTATGTCGTCAGTTTGGCTCAAAAAAAAAAAAAACACTTAAAAAAAAAAAGGCATGGCATTCAAGTTGTAATCATAATGACATGAACTTCATGGCAAAAACAGAACAAACAAAAACAGGCACCCCCTGGCACAGAAAGGTCAAGAACAAGAAGCCAAGTGATGAAGAAGATAAAACTAAGGCATTGTGGAGAGCTGGGTCAGAGTATGATTTCAGAGAACTGGGTCAGGTCAGGGCACTTGGTGACAGAAGCAAGGTGATCATCTGTTTTGTCCTGGGTTAGTTATTAATTTATTTTACAATTTTACTCAAAGGGCTGGAAAAATAAAACAATGTAAAAATAATAGTGAAAAGAAACATAATTCAATTATTTAACTGTACATTTACAGGAAACTATTTTAAAACTGGCTTTTGTTTTTTCATCCTTTCAAACCTCATATGAAGCTTAGGGTTTGAGCCAGAAGAAGAGATGTGGTAGACAAGGATGCAACCCTTCCATAAATGAAATCATGTCTTTAAAGCACCAGGTACACCTGTGTGACCCAGAGCCTTTGAATGGACCTGGCCAACATCACAGTACACCACCAGAAACAGAAACTTGAGTGTATCTCCAGTTCCAGTATTTATCTAGACTGCCGCCTGTTTGCTGTTCTGACCTGCCGTTCCTTGTTCTCATCTTATCTGGCCATCAGATCCATTGGGACCTCTAGGGGGAAAATGTGCCATCTGTCTTTCTTGCCCCCAGGCACAAAGGTCCTGCCCTCCAGCCCCTTCTCCCTGTCGGTTCAGACGTAGAAAGCAGGACCAGCCCTGGTCCAACATCCACAAGTGAGGTAGGTAGATATCCTTGTTTTCACAGTGTTGACTCCTGAAAGACCAACGTGTGAATCAGCCTGCGCGAGCAGACCTAAACCTTAAAATGTATTGAGCACCTGCAGCATTTCACAAGTAATACTTCTGGTGCCGATTGATGAGGCACCCCAAGGAAAGATTGGATTTGATTCAACATGAAAAGTTTCCCTAAGAGGCCAGCCATGAGTTGGTGTTGTCCCATTTATACTATAGAGTGAGGCCACTGAGGGAGGGAGGCAAGAGATTTGTGATGGGAGGCCACAGGGCAGAGCAGGTCCGGGAATCTCAGCAACCCTGACTTCTAGCCTGAGGACTTTCCTACGAACTATGACATACATGATAGAAAGGACGTGGGGTTTTGGATCAAACAATCCTAGTTTGAGTCCCACCTCTACCATTTTCTGCCTTGTTACTTAATCTTACTGAACCTGTTTTCCTAGGACAAAAAGTTGGAATACAAGCTCACAGGGTTGTTGTGCTAATGACATGAAATAACATAATGTGAAATGTGCTTTGCACTAAATGGTTTTCCAACTACTGAACACAAAGCACGCATACCATTAAAAAATATATTTTTTAAATAAGCCAGAATATACACATATATACACAATTGAAACAAAGGTTTCACAAAAACATTGCATATATCTTACTACTAAGAGTCACTTGATATTTTTTATTGGATTCTATTTCGTGTTTTTAAATACTGGTTTCATTCACTACATTGTTTTCACAACTCCTGACAGCTTTTTAAAAAACACTGCTGAAAACCATACAATTGTCAATTAGTACGATTATTATGATTCTCAGGGATGGTCTGATGGTTGGGAATCTTCAATGCCAAGGCAACAAAGGAAGAGGTCAAGGTTATTAGGTCAAGCATTAGAGTCCTGTTGCCAAGGGAATAGATCAGTCTACCCAGGCGCGCTCTCAGGAGAAAAGGAGTGGCCTATGCCCCTGTCACTCACACCAGTAGCTGGGCAAACCCGCCCCTACGCCCAGAGGGCTCGGAAGACCCGCCTCCTCTCTAAGGTTAAGCGAGGAAAGCCGGGATTGGAAGCTCAGGAGGTGACGTAACTTTCCCCTTTGGGTGGCCTTCCGCTCCGGCGGCTGTCGGGAGGGGCTCCCGGAACATTTAGCAGGCCTTCTCGAACGCTCGGCTCTTGGATTTGCGATGAGGTCGGTTAGCTACGTGCAGCGTGTGGCCCTGGAATTTAGCGGGAGCCTCTTCCCGCATGCAGTCTGCCTCGGAGACGTCGACAACGATACGGTCAGTGCATGCGCACTGCGAAAGACGCAGCCCAGGTCTGCGCAGGGCCGGGCGGGGCCAGGGAAGTGGAGGCAGCGTGCAGCGTGTGCGGCGAACGCGCGATAGGACTGTCGTGGCGGACTTACGAAAAACTTTATGGATAGCTTAAATGTCGAGGCATCCTGACCGAGTTGGTCTGGTACCCTGGTCTGGTATTTTTTTTTAGGGGCATGGATAACTGATCCTGTGCCTAACTCACTAACTTGTTCACCGTAGGAGCCTAGTAAACCCTGGTGGCCAAATTTCCTGGTTCACGGCTACTGTCTTTATGCATCCTCCAGGGGCATCGCCTCTCAAATCTACCCTTCAAAGTCTCAAAATAGGCTTTAAAAGCCTGTCTGCTGCTCTTACATTTGGCCTCTTGCGCTGGAATACATGGCTGTACTCTGCCTCGCCTTCCAGCTGGTAGACTCTAAGCTCCTCCGGCCGCGGCAACAGATGCCCCCACCATCCCAGTCTTAAATGCCTTTCTGTAGTGCCCGCTCCATAGAACACGCAGGTGCATGGAAACTTTAAAGCGCTACATCTTGGTTGAGTTACAAAAACAGTTTCCACCTACCTTTTCTTCCTTCAGCAGTTGTTCCTTTTCTCGTTGTTTAAATGAATTAATACAAGTAAAGCCGGTAGCATCATGCCTGGCACACAGTTAACAGCTCAGTAAGTGGTAGTGCCATTGTTGTTAGTATTTGATTCTGCTTCTCTGCAAATATTTATTGAACTGCCCATTGTGCACCAAGGACACTGCTACATTCTGGGAATTCAAAAATGAACAAGACAGACCCAGCTCTCAGCATCAGGTGGGATGGTAGGCACGAGAATAGCCGTGTAATGAGGTGCATTGATTAAAATATACAAAGGGTTCTAGGGTGGAGCATCAAAGGGGATGGGGGCTGTTCATGGTGTGAAACACTCTTTTTTCCAGACTTTATCTTTTCTTTCATTATCTCCATTTCACATTTTTAACTAAAAGCACCTTATTGCCCTCCTCTCCTACTCTCTGTCCCATCTCCCTATTCTGCCTCTGTACTGTTCCGTGCTCTCTTTTCCCTGAAAAAAAAAAGGAGGGCTAAAACAGCCTCCCCTCTCCCCCAGACTCCTCTGTGCTGTGATGGAGAAGGTATTTTATGAGGTCTCTTTTGGCTGTACCTGCTCTAGGGAGGAAAAAGTTATTTTCATAAGTTTGTATTATGTTTTATAGGCTTTCACATTTCTTCATATGCCAAGCAGTACAATTTTTATGAGAAAATCAAGGGAGGCATTTTTAAATAGTAAATTAACGAAGTGACTTTAGATGAGCATATTTTCCATGTTACCTGATTGTCTTCTTCGTTTAAAAGGGAAAAAAAAAAAACATGCCTTTTTTTTCATAGCTTCATAGCACCAGCTTTTTTGGAAATTGTACTTTGCTGAGTGAATTGCACTATTATACACTCAATTCTGCAATATTAGGTATATTATATATTTTTTCTTATACTTTTTTTTTTAACCTTGTTGTAAGCACTATTAGGATAGGAATTTTTTTTGTCCATTTTTTTACTGCTGTATCCTCAATAGTTAGAATAGTGCCTGGCACATAGAACATACTCAATAAATGTTTGTTGAATAAATGAGGATTATTATGAAATGCAATTTGAAGGGCTTTGCCTGTTATTAATACATAATAATTGAAAGAAGGGCAAGCAAGTAGGTTAGATAGTTGGCTAGTGATCAGATGTGTGGATAAAAATTTTGTTATTGGTTCCCTAGGTCAGCATTTGGAATTTGGGGTAGGAAAAAGACTTTTCATTCTAATAAGCCTTTAGTCTAAAGTTCTTTGAAACTAATTTATTTTCTGCTAAGTCAGGAATAGAATACACATCCTATAGGGCTGCCCACCAAAATCTGGATACACCAGGAGAAAGTCTCTAGATGGCTGAAGCAGATCACAGAAAGACCTCACCTTTTTCCCTTAACATCTATGACTAATGCTGTTACTACCAAATTGGGGTTCTTTAGTGTCACTGAGTGGCCTCCAGAGGCCAGAGCCAGGATCAACCACAGAGAAGCACAACTGCTGGGATGCACTATACAGTAGCCCCACGCCCCCCATCCACGGCTTCAGTTACTTGCGGTCAACTGAAGTCCAGAAATATTAAATGAAAAATTCCAGAAATAAACAATTCATAAGTTTTAAATTGCATGCTATTCAAATCTCATGGGGTCCCTCTCCATCCCGCGCGGGACTTGAGTCATCCGTTTGTCCAGCGTATACCTTACCCACTGTTAGTCATTTAGCCCTCTTGCTTATCATATCAACTGTCCCGGTATCACAGTGCTTATGTTTAAGTCACCCTTATTTTACTTAATAATGACCACAAAGCACAAGAGTAGTGATGCTGACAGCCGGATGTGACAAAGCGGAGTTGTAAAGTGCTTCCTTTAAGTGAAAAGGTGAACATTCTCTACTTCATAAGGAAAGAAAAATAAACGTATGCTGAGGTTGCTGAGATCTATGGTAAGAACACATCTTCTATCCTTAAAATTGTGAAGAAAGAAAAAGAAATTCGTGCTTGTTTTGCTGTTGCACCTCAAACTGCAGAAGTTATAGCCACAGTCTCTGATAAATGGAAAAGGCATTAAATTTGTAGGTGGAAGGCCTGCACAGAAAATATGTTCCAATTGACCGCAACATGTTATGCCAGAAAGTTTTGAGCCTATACGAAGACTTCAGCAAGGGAGCCCCTGAAATAAGTGACCACATTCATATAGCTTTTATTATAATATGTTGTTATAATTGTCCTGTTTTATTAGTAGTTATTGTTGTTGATCTTTTACTGTGCCTAATTTATAAATTAAACTTTTTCATAGGTATGTATATATAGGAAAAAACAGTATATATAAGAGTTTGGTACCATCAGCAGTTTCAGGCACCCACTCAGGGTCTTGGACCGTATCCCCACAGATAAGGGGAGACAGTTGTAGCTGCTGGAAAGCAGATGGGCTGCCCTGGAAATGCCCTCTTCCAGGACTCCTGTCATTGCCTCACTCTCTGCCTGGCTCACTGCACCTCCCATACCGTTTTATGATTTTATTTCTGTGTCTGTGTCCTTGTTAAGCTGGGGTCCTTCTCAGCACGGATTCTGTGGCATTTATCTTCGTACCCCTAACTGGTTGTCCAGCTTTACCTGAAAACTCAAGGGCTGACTGGGCATTCTCATTCATTGATTTTTCTGTTTCTTAAAAAAATTTTTGTTGTTTGTCTATTAAGTAAACATTTTATCGAGGCCTACTTATAGACTGTGGCAACTGTTGAATGAATGTATAAAAAAAGAATGAATTGTATGAAAGATGCTAAGCTCTCTAGCCTTGGAGATATTTAACTAGATGCTGAAAACTACCTGGTATCTGTAACTCACTATATGCCAATCACTGTTCTAAATGCTTTCCTCTGTTAGCTCAGTTCTCACAGCAGTCTTAAGAGGCTTATGATCCTTGTGTTATAGATGAAAAAATTAGGCGTAGAGAGTTGTGTCAAATCCAGGCAGCTGCTCTGTGAGCCTCCATGCCATGAAGCCTCTTCCCCACGTGTCTGCAGAAGTCGTCCAGGGGCAGCTGTGACAGAAGCATGAGGCGTAGAGGGTTTATGTAAACAAACTTGTTTTGTACTTCTATGATCTAACAGTCCCACAAGAAACGCCCATAACTATTAAAAATAATTAATCTGAGATTCAAATGAAGTAAATAATTATTAATAAATTCCAATTCATTGCTAATGTTTCCTTACTGTTGATCTGTCTTTGTTGCCTTTGGAATGAAATCTCCTGAGAATCTAATATTCACTGTATTTTGAGGTCAAGAAGGAGGTGTTGGATGTTCCCCCAAGGGGAAATCATGAAGCTGTTTGTGGAAATTGGGTTTGGAGCTCCCTTATTATTATTGTTGCCCCTTGGAAAGGTTGGCCAGCCTTTCGGGAACCCCTGGGAAATGGAGTACCCCAATACAAAGTGTGGAGAAGAGGCTCCATGCAGGGAGCCTCCCCTCCTGAGAACTTCGCGACCACTAGAGGGCACCAGAGGCCCAAAGCCCGGAAGCCCACACCCAGGAACGCCTTTATGCTGCCCCCTGCGGCACCGCCATCCTCCATGTTCACTCATACACACCAAGGTTAAAAGGTCTTGATAAAGGAGGAAGGGCCCCCAGAGCTGACATTTTCTTTTTATTCGACCCCTAATTAAATACGAGATTTGAAGCTAAATTCCCCAAAAGTTGAATAGTTTGGGTTGTTTTCAAAACATGTCCCATTTGTAATGGACAAATGAGAGCCAAAGTCAGGCATGTGGCTCATGGAGCTGTTCAGATGTAAGACTTTTCTGAGATGGATCATAGACTCTGTGTTGCCCCATTCCTCTAACCTCCTCA